TTGGTGGGTTTTTGTTAAATGTGAGCCAAAATCATCACAATTAAAAGAACCAAAGACTTAAACTACTTCAGTCTGTGTGCACTGAATTTATTTAATACACGAGTTTCACAATTTGAGTTGAATTACTGAAATAAATGAACTTTTCCACGACATTCTAATTTATTGAGATGCACCTGTACACCTACCCCAACCCTTACAGTAATGCAAATACAGTAATAATGTATTGATCAGCATGTGATCAAATTGACAATATTAATGTGCGCATGTAAGCCCTGGTAGGACAATCTGATGGGTAGGATGAAGTTTCAAGACATCGGGTTCGAAAGGCAAAGCTGCAAGCGCCACTCCACAACCAAGTTCAGCTCGAGTACAGAATGAAAGATGATAAGTGTGCATGTTACCTGGTGAACGACAGGAGCTGGAGCATTGATGACTTGCTGCACATTTCGGACACCTGCTGAGTACTTGTATTGACTGACTCCTCTGACTACAGCTCCCGCTCCTGCAGTTCTCCCACCTGCAGTCTGTGTGCCAATGTTGGCTAAGTTAAGAGAAAAACGGAACGGTACAAAAAGGAGAGATGATTCACATTCCAACCAAAAACAGAACATTCAGGATAACACTAACATCCGTCAACTCTAGCTCATATGATTACATGCATTTTAACATATGGACCAAAGTAATTAAGAGAGAAGAGATACACAACGCATTAAGGCCCATTTCCCCCTTTTTTTTTTTTTTATAAATAGACTGGGCATATACTAACGCACACCTTCAGACAAATGTTTTTTGTATTTTTGTGAGGACTTCCTAAAAAAAGTAAAAAAAATAAATAAAAAAAAAAGTTAAGTGACATGTGGCCAAGTATGGTGACCCATACTTGGAATTAGTGCTCTGCATTTTAACCCATCCAAAGTGCACACACACAGCAGTGAACACACACACACCCGGAGCAGTGGGCAGCCATTTTTGCTGCGGCGCCCGGGGAGCAGTTGGGGGTTCGGTGCCTTGCTCAAGGGCACCTCAGTCTTGGTATTGAAGGTGGGAGAGAGCGCTGTACATTCACTCCCCCCCCCCACAATCCCTGCCTGTACGAGACTCGAACCCGCAACCTTTGGGTTACGAGTCCGACTCTCTAACCATTAGGCCACGACTTCCCCAATGTTCTTCTGACATTGTGTGTGTGTGTGTTTAACAAAGTATAAAAACAAAGCCTTACCCATTCGCTGGGTGTTGTTAACAATGTGAGGAACCTGAGTGGACGCCTGGCGGACTGTGCTGATGATGGTGGAGGGTCTGCGGGGCACCGCTTGTCTCACAAACTGAGCGGTGAATGGAGCTAGTGCAGCCAACAACAGAAATTAACTCATCCAAATACAAAAACACAAAAGCACACTGAGGAGTTTAAAAAAAAAAAAAAAAAAAAGGTTTTTTAACTGCGTGGACACAGACGGTCAGCTTTAGTTTGTGCATATAGACCGTATGCCACTTCAATATACAGCACGAAACACTCAAAGCAGAAATAGCAAGTTTTACCTACAGAGTGAATTATATTCCAAGTATTATTCCTCTATTTTTGTAAAGCCATCCTGGGTTTAAAACGGTCCTAAGGGACGAATTCAAACCATAGACTGGGGGTTAAAAAAAAAAAAAAAAAAAGTGTATTTGAATGATATTAATGAGATGATATTAGTGACTTTACCTTGAGTCCTAGGAGCTTGAGTTGTCCAGCGTGGCGCAGGCCGCAGGTTTGGTACGGTGTTGTAAAAAGGGCGAACCTGATGCTAGAAATGCAGATATGCATAGAAGTTCACACAGCAGAAGTAATGCAGATAATGCAATCGTCATACAAAACCACACATGCATATAAACCCTTCCACCCACTTGTGGCACAGAGGTCATGTAGTAGCCGGAGCTCTGCTGGTAGGTGGTGGGTATGGCAGGGCTGGGAATGGCTCGCAA